ATCACTGCTGATGTCAGATGTTGTTGTTGTTATGTGCTATCGAGTCACCTGCATCTCATAGTGACCCTATGTACAACAGCCCTAAACCCTGCTCTGTCCTGTGTCAATCCCACTGTCTTCGACATACCTACCCCCATTACTCTAGTCACTGAAATCAATCCACCTCAAAGAGGGTTCCCTCTCCTGTGCTGTCCCTCTACCCTCCCAAGCATGACAGCCTTCTCCAAGGACTGATCCCTCCTTGCAACATGCCCAAAATATGTCTGACAAAACCTCAGAATCCTTGCCTCCAAGGAGCATCCTGATTTAGCCCTCTCTAGGATGAACCTGTTCATTTTCTTAGCAGTCCATGATAACAATACTCTTCTTCAGCACCACAGCTCAAAAGCATCAGTTCTCCTTTTATCTTCCCTAGTCATTGCCCAGTTCTCCATGCATAACAAGTGATTGGATGTCAGACTGATCTTGTTTATGTTAGAGGGATCTATTTATGTTTTATTGACTATGGAAAGACATTTGACTCTATGAATCACAACAAACTGTGGCTAATATTGAGAAGAATGGAGATGCCAGGATTTTGACTGTGCTCATGCAAAACCTATACTTAGATCAGTAAGCTGTTGTACCAACAGAGCAAGAGAACACTACATGGTTCAAAATAAAAAAAGGAGTGTTATCAGGGTTATATCCTTTCTCCATATCTTCTCAATCTATATGCTGAACAAATCATTAGAGAGATTGGACTTATCAAAGAATGTAGCATCAGAATTGGAGGAAATCCCATACAAAACCTGTGTTATGCATATGACTCAACCTTGCTCACAGAAAATGAGGAGGACTTGAGGCACTTGCTGCAATCTGCAGCCTTCAATAAAGATCACATCTCAACATCAAGAAAACAAAAATCCTCACCAGTAGATCATTAGGCAGCACTATGATATGCCAGATGTGGAAGAGAGTGAAGTAGTTCATTATTTCATCTTGCTTGGATCCACAATCAACACCCTTCGCACTATCAGTCAGGAAATCAAAAGATGTGTTGCCCTGGGAAACTATGCTGTCAAAAACCTCTCCAGAATGTTAAAGAGCAATGCTGTCTGATGCACCTGATCCAAGCCCTGGTCTTCTCAACTGCTTGCTATGCACCTGAAAGCTGGAAAATGACTAAGGATGACAGAAGTATAATTGATACCTTTGAGATGTGGTCCTGTAGAGAAGTACTGAACATACATGTCACGGACTGACAAAAGAACAAACAAATCTGTCCTGGAGAAAGTGAAATCAAGTTGCTCCTTGGAGCTTTGAGACAAGGATTTTGAAACTTAGTCTCAAATACTTTGGGCATGCTGTCAAGAGGGTCTAGACCTTGCAGAAGGACATCATACTTGGAAGTGTAGAGGGTCAGTGAAAAAAAGGCAGGCCCTGGATGTGATGGATCAAGACAGTGGCTGTGGCAATGGGGTCGGGTGTGTCAAAGATGTTGAGTCTGGCTCAGGATAAAGCTGCAATGAGTCATAGTCAACTCAAAAGCATAAAACAAGTAAAAAGAAATGCCTAAAAGATTTGCCCAGGTCCTCCAATATAGATACGCTTTTATGGCTTTTAGCCATATGATTTTGGCTATAACAATAAAAGTTAAATTACATCAACAGTAAGTTCAGTAAAACAAGTTTCAAGGAAACCAGAAACAATCATAAATACTAACTTTCAAAAGAAAGTTTAAAAAAAACAAAACACCACAACCCAAACAAAAATCCAAATTTGTTTCTAACATAATTTAATTAACATTTTACCTTTCAGCATCAGCCATGTTTTTATAATAACTTGAATAAAAAAAAGATAGCTAGCTAGATGCCTTAGGCAACTAGGATTAGCCCCACATAGCATTTATCCAAAACTGAATATGTAATAAAGGTAATATGCTGGTATAAATCTAAAAACAGTTAACTTTCATGGAAGTTAGTACTGATGGGAGTCAGATCAAGGAACAGAGAAATCTATGTTAGAGTCTCACCTCAAGTCTTGACTAGTTATTTATCTATTAATATGAATTCTAACTTAAGATTTCAATCCTCATCTATGCCAGGATGCAATTGAACCAGTTCAACTCTAAGTTCCTTTTCAGGCATGATTCTATCTTTATCTTTCTCACCACTTTCAGCCCTCTAAAGATTTAATTAACTCGAGATGAATTGCATGGGAAAAGTCAGCTGTGAGGGACTTCTCAAGAGTACTGAAGAGTAATGACGTCAGGCTGGAGACTAAGGTGTGCCTGAGCCGGGCTATTTTCACAATTATGTGCTATGCATCAGAGTTGGACAGTAAATAAGGATGACAGAAAGAGAATTGAAGCCTTTGAGCTGTGGTGCTGGAGAAGAGTGTTGAATATACCATGGACTGCTAGGAGAACAAACAGGTTTGTCTTGGAGAAGGTAAAGCCAGAATGCTCCTTGGGGTCAAGGATTCTGAAGCTTCATCTGACATACTTTGGGCATGTTGCAAGAAGGGGCTGGTCCTTGGAGAGGGACATCATGTTTGACAGAGTGGAGGGACGGTGCAGGAGAGGGAGACCTTTGATGAGATGGACCGATTCTGTGACTGGAGTGGCGGGAATGAATGCCCTTGAAATGGCTAGGTTGGCACAGGATAGAACGGCGTTTAGGGCTCTTGTGCACAGGGTCACTATGAGTCACAAGCAACTCGATGGCACACAACAACAACAACAAACAATTATTACGGACAATCGCTTCTTATGCAAATAAAGTCTTTAAAAACCTACTGGAGGGTCAACTACAAGTGGGTTCTGACTTGACAGCAGTAACTTTGTTATTAATATGCTCTAGTAGTGTACTGTACTAGCTAGCTGTTGAGCTACTAACCAAAATGTTTTCAGCTCAAATCCACCACCTGCTCTCGGGGAGAAAGATGAACAGAACTCGGTAGAGTTGCTATGACACAAAACAGACTTGAAGGCAGTGAGGGTTTGGGGTTTGTTGTCCCTGGCATAGTCACTGTCTTCCATCTGCACTGGATTTACATTTTTTTTTATTACTTTTTTTTTTAATCTGGATTTACATTTTAACTGGCCCACTGGTGTCCCATTAAAAAACAAGGACTTGAAATACAATCTTAAACATAATACTGGGATACTGTATAGAGTTGGCTTAAATTCATCAAGTTATATATGTATAAATTTGCATAAAACTCTCCATATTTGATACTACCCATTAAATTAGAATAACAATAAGAGTTTGACTAGTATAGTTAGTATTATGCCTGAATATGGCATAGTATTTTTAAGTGAAAATCAGTAACCAAAATATTTAGGTACTTTTAGGCAGTAAAAACAAGATCCAGCAAAACAAAAAAAGATATGATAAAATTCATTTAGGCAGAGGCAAATCTCAGTCCTATCTCTAGCATGAAGACATAGTTGAGTAACAGCACTTTGTAATGATCCATCCTCGTCAACTTCTAATCCTTCTGACTGATGAAAGCATGAGACATCTGTTTATTTTTAAGTGTATGCTGCCTTCCTTATTTTCACTTTGTACAACTATATAAAATTCAAATGCTTAGAAATACACACACAGATTCAGTAAGACTTCAAAAAGATGACCTGTCAAAAAGATGACAACGTTGACCTAAAAATTAAAATTAATTCCAGAAGATAAATAAAATATATGACAGCAATATAAGGCAAAAAATTATTATAGAAGCCTAAACTTTATGTGTTCAATATAGTGTTTACTCTTGGGTAAAAGTTAATAAAACTTGGAGCTCATATTAATAGGAAAGGAAGTAACATTTAACCATCAGGTGACAGGAGACAATCGCAGGGGAGGTATATTTCAAGTAGTCTTATAAAAAATTATCTCCACATTAAAATACCTTTGTGGTCAGCCACAATAAGAAAAAAAACCCACTTCCCTTCATAAAATTATTCCAACAGTCTACAAACAAGTGTATTCTATGGTATGTGAATCGTTAATACCAATATGTAATCACTTTCCTTTGACTCTTAGCATTCAGAATCAGAAGGGGTCTCGGTGCCCCCAGGACGCTCATCTTCTGGAGGAGGCCAGACACAAAGTCCAACTTGGATCATGTCTGTGTGAAGGCAGAGCTGGGATCTAACCGATATCCACAGCATCTGCACATCATCCTGCCTCGAACTGTTTAATGAAATGTGGTGGTTTTAACGCCTCACCTAATTACCGAGCAGCCACCTCCTCGCACTTTTACTGAAGTCATCACAAAACACTGGCTTACACAAGTGACCCTGGGTTCCCCAAAGAAGTATGAGCCCTTTTGCAGTGCGGTCACTGAAAAGCCTATTGATTGACGGGCAGGAATCTGGGTTTGAACATGTGGCTACTTCCCCAACTGCAGTCCTCCTAAGGATCCCGCGCGCAAAGCGGGATGTGTGCGGATGCGTGTGTGTGTGAGTGTGCGCGCGTGTGTTTGTGTGTGTGTTGATGGAGCGAGGGACGCAGGTCTCTAAGGTAACCATTTCCGCGGCTGAACCTCCGCGTCGCCAGCGGGCTCCCTGTCCCCGCAGCGATCCGTAACCCGCCAGCCGGGCGGGAGGCCGGGGGATGAGTGTGCAGGAACGGGGCTCCTCGGGCCGCCGGCCGGTTCCGAACGCGGCTGGGCCGGACCGTTACCGGGCGGCGGACCCGCGC